CTTATGCATCTATGCAAAGGCCTTACAGATAATTTCACCGTGAATGAAGATGATAAAATGATATACTAATCGGTAAAATATGATTTCATTTGAAATAAAGTGGAGAATCTCACCAAATTTAGCTTTGCCAATGTAGCGAAGTATATTTCTCATCCAGCATAAAAAGGTGCCATTTGTTTGATATCAGTTTGATGAATTATTAATTTTATCACAGCTAAGATGACAGTTAATATTAGAACATTGAATTATTACTTTTCAAATGTGGCAATAAAAAAGCAGAACAAACACAAACTGAGACACATTTTAGGTGTGAGTTGACTTGCTTACATAATCTGTTTGAGGAAACAAAATAGCAGAGACAGGGATTTAATCCTTGCCAAGTAACTGCTTTTACCTTCAACCTCAGGTATGATTTTTAGCCTTAGTCTAGAAATAGTATTCCCTGACTACTCTACCAAACTATGCTATACCCCCCTCTGTCTGCCAGCCAAAACTATATCTCTATCAATTTTCTTGGCAATAGATAAAGCTTTTGGGGTGCTCGGGCCAAGGAATAATAAGGAAGCAAATGCAACCTAGGTAGAGGATTCACCATTTTTTAGTATGAGCAGGTTGAAAAATGCAAGTTATTTGTAGGGTATAGTATTTGGTGTAATCTTTTGCTTCTCTTTTTTCCTACTATTTTCTTCACAACTGCTTGTAATGTGGCACAGGGTAAACAAACACTTCAGGGTTTGTTTCCTTAAAACTGTTTCTGTGAGGTGTGAGGTTTCAGCCTTAAGAGCCAGCACAGGATTTATCTGGCTCCACTATTGCCTTACAGGCTAATACTGATTTTCCTGTCAACTGTCTCCTTTGCAAATGTTCTTCCTTCCCAATTCTCCAAATGAAGATGGGAGCTTTGAAGTCTTTCTTATTCTATGGCAAAATAGTCAACATTTCTAAATGTCGTGCAATGCTGACCCTGAATGTGAACAAGGGTCTTGAAATGAGCACAACTTATGCTGTCAGGGATGCTGACTGGTACAGGCGGAATTCTGAGGTCAATATTCTCAGGCAAAAGAAGAGAAACAACTGTCTGTCCCCAAGCCTCACTGGGAATAAATACAGCTCAGAGCTGGAGTAACTGCTATTAGGAAAAAAAAAAAAAAAAAAGAAAAAAAGAAAAAAAAAAAAAAGGCCACAAATTTGTATTCCACTGCCATATATGGTGATTATTTTGACTACAAATATTAGGCAGGGCTAGCTGGTTGAGTGAAAACCACTTATTTTTATCCTGCTGACAAAAGGGAGTGGGGGAGAAAAAGCATCTGTCACCCATCTGAATTTGGAGAGGGACTGTGTTACACTGAGAAGTTCAGGAGGGTGTAAGAACTTGCTAATGAGTTACACTGTTGTGCAGAGCCAGAGACAAAAGACAGTGGGTAAAATGCTGCCAGCCAGTATAGCAGCACTGAGGGCACCACAGAGCAGTGGTGGTCAGGAGGGATCTGTTCATGACCCTGTGGCAAGGCATGGGCACACCTCGCTACCTGGAAAAGGGATGAAAGATGAGCTGAAATGGAAAAGAAAGGGGTGCTGTGCACTGAAGGCCACATTCACCCTCTCTGCTGATGCCAGTTTGATTATCGTTGCGCTTAAAGTTAAGAAACTGGTTTAAGTCGAAGGTGAGGACTCGGAGCTAGATCACAGGTAGACTTTAAAACACAGCTTGCATGGGACGGCCAAAATGCACAAAATAAATCCCACTCCCACTGCAAAAACTTATTGTGTGCTTTGATGAATATTGACTGACTGTGAGTTAGTCTGAGAGCTAGTTACTGCAGGGACTAAGTAAACTGTAGGTATTCTTTGGGACGGCAGGTACAGTTAATACCTACAGTACAGGTGTGATGTGAGTTAAAAGAGAGTGTCTGCTACAGATGTGTGAAAGCTCATGGCAAAATCCAAAACATTGCCTGAAGCTTTTGTTGCACACAGCTCATTTCAGTGGGGCATTTAGTGACCATGCATCTGATATAGGAAGAAAAGTATGGTCGTGCTTCATTCATTCTTGGTTTAACAGCTTAGGTACAAGAAAACCTTTTTCTTCCCCATGCAAGATCAGTAGAGTTTGTAATAAGTTAAAAAAAAAAACAAAACCCATTTGGTCATATCAGACTGATATGACCAAATAGATCTGTCTGTGCCCAGCCAAAACCCCAGGCATCTACACTCTGGGTTTGAACACTCTGCTAAGCATTACATTACTCAAAATACTAGTATCTGCCATAAAGCAACTGTTTCGCTAATGGACCCCAAAGTCTTTTTGAGGGTTCTCCTCTCACTGACCTACCCTAATAGGAAAAGCTGGAAAAGAATTAAAAGCTAACCCACTCTTGCCACCTTTTAAAGGTGATTCGTAGTATGCGGTTTTGAATTTCTCTTGTTTCACACATTGCTGGTTATGTTGCTTATTATAAAGGATTCAGTAAGACACACTTTCTCCCAGCGGTATTTTATTTTGACACATCTCAAATGAAAATACAGCTCATTATTTTATACAGAATTCAAATATGTCACCTGTTCTTCATGCATTGAAATATGACTAATTTTTGTTGTAAGTATATGATAAAGCAGAATGAGTCTGTAATAAGCCTATTTAGTAATGTATTCATGGGTTTTTTGGTCATCCAAAGATGGGGCAAGTGTCAGGATTTGTTTTCTTTTAAAATGTCTTTGTGTTCAGAATGCAAGTGCTCTCTTGTCTGGTCCTGTTGTATTCTTTATCTTTGTGGTTTGTCTCTCAAGAGGCATATTTAAATTGACATAAATGTAGTAAAACTTTTCTCTGAATAAAACTCAGAGACTTTATTTATTTGAGTTTTAAAAATATTATTTATTATGCCCTGTAAAATCTCATGTATCAACCCTCTAGGGACAGGGTAGTCTTTTCAAATAATTTATAAGATGAAACCTTGTTCAGGATACAAATTAGGAGCTTGATTAAAAAAAAAAATAGTGTTAAGACTGTTTCTGGTGAAGTTTCTGTAGGCACAGCAGCAATTAATGTGGGACCAGCTAAGTAAATCTGTTGTGAACATTTTTGCTGTTTCAGTTTATTCAATATATATATATATATGTATATATAAAAAGCATGAATTTTTGGGCCAGGTGGGTGTGCCAGTCTGTTGAGCTTACCTGATCCAGGAGGTGTTTTAAATTATGGAAACCACAAGAGACTGATACTCCTGAAAATGTCTCTGGCACATTGAAAAGATGATTTTTTTTTTTTTCAAAGAATATGTTTTTTGCACGGTTTCTACATTATCCAATCCACATCTGAAAAGGGGTCCATTTAACCTTTTGATTAACCAGATCCAACAACAGAGAGGTGGCCTCTGATCAGCACACTTAAATTTCAGTATTGGAACAGGCTGCAGAGGCTGGATTTAAAGTTCGAATTTTGTTTCATTTGCAGTAGAATGGAAGGGCTGGCAAGCTCAGACACTACCAGTGCTTTGTGGAAGCCAACATATGAATTTGTTCTACAAATGTGCCAGGGACACACTGATCCAAGAGTTAGATCACTTCCAGAAGACACAGAGTTAGATGTGTGAGCTTACTTCCAATTTTTTTTTTATTACTACCCATTAAAAGAAAAATTCTGTAGAAAGCAAACCAGGTAATTAATTCCAGCACTGAGTCATGTTCCCATCTTAGATGTATAAAATTAAATAAACAAATTATCCAAAATATCCGAATCCTTCAAACAAAGAAGGTCACAATTTTTCTTGTTGGCTTTGGGGACTTGAGGTTGCAAGTGGGTTTTGCATTTGTATGCTTATCAAAGGTAGGACAGAAGTTACTGAGATGAGCTTTGGTTGCACAACTGTCTCTTGGAAGGATGGAAAGGACAAGAGGAGGAAAGTGCTGAGTATGTTAACTTCATCTGAGAACAGGTAAGGCAGAAAATCTCTTGAGCCTTGTGGTGTGTAACCTGTGCAGATTTATTGCATGAAAGAACATTTTTAGGGTTTGTTTTGGGGTTTGTTTTTTTTTCGTATTTTTTAAAAGGCTTAATCCCCATGTGTCATGACACATAGATCCTTTTCTGCACTTCTACTAAAAATGGCTAGCTTTAAGGTCTTGTGTCTAACTATGTTTCTATTCCTGAATCAAACCTGTTGACAGAAGAACATGTTGCTGGAAAAAGAGGTCCCCAAGTTAAAAACTGCGATAGATATATCAGTAATATATTAGTAATAAGGAAATATACCAGTAAGAATGATGTGATAGCATTTATTCTTTCTTTCTGAATGAATAAGAGGAAGCCTGCCTGTCACTGTGAAAGGCAAAAGGTACAAGAATGAACACTGCCAGAAAAAATTACATTAAATTTTTTTTTTCCTTCTCTGGGATGAATACAGCAGAGTAAAAGTGTTCCTACAAAAAATGAATGGTGTGGTGATTTTAAATACAGTGTGAGAATGAAGGAAATACGAGCTGCAGAGAGAGACAAAAAGGAATAGTATCGTGTTCAGGCTGGGATGCTTCTTCACACGGCAATGGTTAGAGAAGAAAGGTGGACAAAAAAATAGGGAGCTGCTGTATTCTGAGTTTTTAACATTAGCCGTGTAGTAAGTTTTCCTACGGTGCCTTTTTTTTTTCACTGCCCTATGAAGAACTGAATGAAGAGTATCTTTGGACACAAAGGGATAACACTCCTGGCTTCATTCTTGTTCATCAGTTCCTTCATCTTCCCCATAATTCTTCTGTAGTCCAGTCCATTTTCTACTTTCCTCTTTTTCTTCTTTATGAACCACATGACACTGCAAATTGTAGTATTTTGCTTATTACTGGTTGTCCAACTACACAATGCGGACTTTTTATAAAAAACTGTAGTGTTCCTCAGATCTACAACCATACTTCCTTTGCTTTCGGAATGGAAGTTGCAGAGCAGATGAATAAATTTTCTTTTCCTTCATGTAATTTTTTTTTTTTTTTCCTTTCTTTTGCAGTTGCAAATGTTTTGAGAATTCATCATCATCCCAGGTTGATGGCAGGACCCTTATGACCCAGCTGTGAGTCATGGTTCCCAGCTGGGTGCCTCTGAAGAGAGAAAAGAAGCTCAGTTGTGCCCCTGAACTCCCACCAGCACGAGCCAGGAACATCTGTCTGCTCCTTTCCTTTCTTGAGATGTTCTCGAGGAGGAGGGAGGCAGGCAAGTAGGAATATGAAAGGCAAAGGATCAACTGGCCACATTATATTAGCCAACTTAAATAATTCTTCTTGGCTGTGGAAACAATTTTCCCATCCAAACCTGCTTTTTTTTTCCTCTCCATTCCTTTAATTTTTCTTCTTTTCATTTTTTTTTTCTTTTTCTTTCTCCAAACAGGAACAATTTATTTCCACTTTTGGGCAGGTTTCTTTGCCAAGGGTGATCTCTCCCCATTGCCTCTCATACGCCATTTCCCAGTGCCCCCCAGCTGACCTTATAAAGTGCCTCAGGGATCCAACTTTACTGAACAGCAAAATCAAAATATGCAAATAGAGCTTGGATTATTACATTTATAATTATGAAAACATTTTTCCTGCACTATTGCCTGTGCCCAGCTTCCTGCCCTACTGCTCTCAAGTGCTTCAGCGCTGCCTATAGCTGTTGTGCTGAAGCACCCGAGAATGGCTCTGAAGCAGGAAGAATTCAATCTGCAGGCTGGTTTTCCAGACACTTTCTTTCTCATTCTCTGCAAGATAGTTGATATTCCTCTGGATTTCACTGTTATTATTTGGGTGTCTCCACTTCAGAGCGAAGGGTAGATGAATGCCTCATTCAGCCTCTTCAGTCCACTCTAGTTCTATTCTAGTTTGAGAAGCCTGTGCTACTTGGATAGATGGGAGCAATTCATGCTAATAACTCAATCTTTCTGTAAAGTTAAATTAGGTATCTCAGGCTGAAAAGTAAGTAAAAGGTAAAGCTGCATAACGCAGTACAGGAAGACGAGTCCTTTGTTAGGTATAGTAGATAAATAGTACACATCCTGATGGAGAAGCGGTTAGGTTCACTTAGGCATTTTAATGAATAAAAGAACATAAAATGAGTCAGGATATTCTACCCACCATCTGTAGGGAAAAAAAAAAACTTAACTTTTGCAATTCAGTTTTGCACAATTTTTGATATGGTGTTGCAAAATTTTTCATCTAGTCTTGATGAATGATTGATTTACACCACAAGTCTTCTGTCTAAGCCAGTGCAAAGACACTCCCTGCGCTGTCCCTGCACGGCACAAGGCGGAAGCTTGCTGTGAAGCTAGTTGAGAGGAAGTGTCATCTACAATATCTGAACAATGAACAGAGCACCTCACCACAAAGTCAATTATGCTTTCAAAGCAGCCATCATACATGCTCAGGAGCCAGATGTTAGCATTGTGATATTGTGATACTAATCTAAAGGGAAGGATGATTTTTCTAATTTTTTTTTTAATGTTGGCTTTCTGAGGATTAAGTAGGATATTTTCAATGTAGTTGAAAAAAGAGAGCTATATCCCCAAAATCCAAATGCTCTTGTTTCTGGTTTGGTTCAAACTCAATCATTTCTCTCTGGACAAAGCATGAAAAGGAAGGACCGTTGTGAACCTCAAAATATATTATTTCAGGTGAAATGACATTTCTGCTGATCTTTCAAACAATCTACATGCATCTTTTCAGCTGTTTCAGCCCCAAAGCCTATGTCTATTTTTTTTTTTGATAATGACCTGCTAGTAATAAAATAATCAAATTTGTTAATTAAAGTTCAGGTAACTGTGGTTTAGAAAATTCAGAACAGGCTCTGTTTTTTTATTTTCAGAACAGGTTCTTTTTTTTCCTATATCAAACATTTAAACCTAGTTCTGGTCTCTAATGACAAAAGCTCCTGCTGACTCCTTGTTAGTTTATGCATATTGAACTGCAACTCTCAACTCCACTCCTACCTGGTGTGTTGCCTCACCCCCCATGCCAAAACAAACCCTTCCCCTCCGAGTTTTCCTGTTGGCAATACTAGTACAGAGGTCAAGGACTGAGAACCCTTCTCTTCTTCACCTTAAAACCCTCTGCTTCATCAGGGATGAAGGAAAATCACTGAGGAAACTTTTGTTCAGTTGTTTAATCATATGGGAAAATGGACTGCAAAGCAAGCATGTCAACAGCCTTAATTCTCTGTGTAAACATGGGCAGAAAAAGGAAGACATATATAATATTAAGCAAGAAAAATAATAATATTAATAATAATTTAAATTAGAAATATTATGTTCCTTAATAATGTGTTTCACTTTTAAACTAACGTTTTATATCTGTATCAGCCCCTGCACTCACCCAGTAACATTTCTTATTTATCCAGTTGGACATACTAATTTACTTTTATCATAATACTTGAGAAATAACTGTCTTACCTCTCTTAGGACATGCTACAGGGCTTATTCTCCCCTTGATAGCTAAGTAGTTATACTCATAAATCTTCGTGCATTGAAAGCAGAATAGATTATATATGCCTAGCAATTTTTTATGATTTCTAAGCTATTATCCCCAAATCCTAGTTAACCATTATTAAAAATAATGTGGCCTTTCTAGAGTGTGAGACACAGCAACATGATAAGATGTGAAAATACCAAATATTATATAATGCAATTTTGCTGCTTTACTTTTCCTCTTTTATTAGAGATTTCTAACATAATACTGAATTTTCATTCAAAGTGACAGGATTCTGTAGCATATATTTTGCAAACTCCAAAACAGAGTCATTGGATGTAGTTTTCTAATAATCAAACAACTGTATAACATGCCTGTGCATGTCAGAAACTGAAGAAATCAAATTTATACAAAACAAAGTGTATTTTGTGGGTAGTGATAACCCACCCAAATCTAATTTAATCAAATATTTAAAGAGGTAATAATTAATTTTTAAAGAATTGAAGTGAACCGTAACTAGGAAGAAATGTTATTGTTTATTTTTAATGCCAGAACAGTATTCATGATGCATTTTTAATATTTCATTAAGGAAGTAACTTTCATACTATATTTTTTCAAGTTTTTATATCTCACTGATAACTTCTTTTCTGAACAAAGGTGAAATATTGTAGGCAAACTTGAACCTTGAACAGTTTTTGAAGATCTTTTGTCATAACTAATTAAACATAGCCAGAAGTATCCTTAAACAAGTTAAGACACAGCACCTGGTTAGGAGCTAAGCAAGTGCTTCTACTTTTAGCATGTGAATGCGTCTTTCCCATCAGATATTACTTTCTGTCATCTCTTTTGAACTATTATTCATCATTCTTACTTTTTAGGAGAGGTATTTGCAAGAAAGGTCTTAAAGCTCACCACTCCCCATGCATTTCCAACCTACAAACTACTCTGTCTTGGTCTTTTGTTTTTTTGATGAAGTGTCTCTCACATTTTGAGCCTTTTATACTCAAAACTGTGGAAGGTTGTTTATTGCACTCTGGCTCCAGCCCTAGTTAAAGGTGTGAACTACCAAAGTGGAAGAGGGCACATGCACATTAACACTGCTGTGGAAAACATTGCTTGACAGATGGATGCATGTTAAATGGATGTTTGAAGAAAGGTGTTTGCAATAAAAATCTTGAGTATGGCATCAGAGGAAGACCACACACAATTTTCCAGCTTTATGTCTGTAATATATGAGTCAAGCTTGTTACGCACCCTGTGCTTTTTGCTGTCACATACTTTCCTCTGTTATTCTCAACAGCTTTGATGACAGGAATATAAAGTATCAGGGTTCAACTGCCATACATAAATAGGTATATACGAATACATACATACATACATACACATACGTTCATATTTGATATTTCATTGTAATATTTCATATATTAATGTTTTTGCATTTGTTTTAAAGACTGCCTATAGCCAAGGGTTTACTCTGGACCATGGGGATCAGAAAAACCGTGGTATAAATTCTCAGTTCATTCAGTGAATCAGTATCTAAATGGTCCAAGGCTAAGTTGAGTTTCTTAAGTTTCAGTTAGCAGTTCTTGATCTTTGTAGGATAAAAGAGATGCTCTCAACATCACCCAGTTAATAGAAGTGGGAATTTGATGTGCAGCTCTTCCCTTTTTTTGTGAAAATCTGCCTCTGAAAGACTGTAAGAGCTGAAGTGTTTAAATCCTTGAGAATATGTATCCAGGATTAAGTACAGCCAAGTTCCATGGAAATAGTTATCTGTGATTTCCTTGGCACTCTGCAGGTTAGAAACCATGTTGCCAAAACTTTTTCTTTCTATTTTCCCCTTCCTCTCCCACAGTGTATTATTGTAAACCACTTGATACCTGTATATTATTCTCTCCCATTTCTAGACGGCTCCTAGCCTAGTGTGCAAGGAACCAAACTAGTGTGCATGGCAGGAAAGAGGAGCCTTAGGAAAAATCTTTCCTTATTTGATATTAAGCTGATGGAGCCCTTAGCTGTTTCCTGGAAAGACAATAGGACTTTCCAGGCAGAGCACTGTATTATTTGCATTTTTGCTCTTTTCCTGAAATAATTTTTGCCCAACCATATCTTTCCTACACGGAAATCTTGTACCCCCTCCCTTAGCTGAATTGTTATTTTTACTTTGTTTATGTAGGTTTTAGTTTGCCGATGACACCAAGCTGTGTGGTTCGGTTGATACGCTGGAGGGAAGGAATGCCATCCAGAGGGACCTCGACACGCTTGTAAAGTGGGCCAATGCCAACCTTATGAAGTTTAAGCATGCCAAGTGCAAGGTCCTACACCTGGGTCGGAGCAATCCCAGGCACAGCTACAGGTTGGGCAGAGAAGAGGTTCAGAGCAGGCCTGCAGAGAAGGACTTGGGGGTGTTGGTTGATGAGAAAATGAACATGAGCCAGCTTCAGTGTGCGCTCGCAGCCAAGAAAGCCAACTGTATCCTAGGCTGCACCAAAAGGAGCGTGACCAGCAGGTCAAAGGAAGTGATCCTGCCCCTCTACTCTGCTCTTGTGAGACCTCACCTGGAGTATTGTGTGCAGTTCTGGTGTCCTCAACATAAAAAGGACATGGAACTGTTGGAACAAGTCCAGAGGAGGGCCACGAGGATGATCAGGGGACTGGAGCACCTCCCATATGAAGACAGGCTGAGGAAGTTGGGGCTGTTCAGCCTGGAGAAGAGAAGGCTGTGTGGAGACCTCATAGCAGCCTTCCAGTATCTGAAGAGGGCCTATAGGGATGCTGGGGAGGGACTCTTCATTAGGGACTGTAGTGACAGGACAAGGGGTAACGGGTTAAAACTTAAACAGGGGAAGTTTAGGTTGGATATAAGGAGGGAATTCTTTCCTGTTAGGGTGGTGAGGCACTGGAATAGGTTGCCCAGGGAAGTTGTGAATTCTCCATCCCTGGCAATGTTCAAGACCAGGTTGGACAGAGCCTTGGGTGACATGGTTTAGTGGGAGATGTCCCTGCCCATGGCAGGGGGATTGGAACTTGATGATCTTAAGGTCCTTTCCAACCCTAACTATTCTATGATTCTATGATTCTATGTATTTTTTTTTTCCTGAGTTCATAAGAGCTATTTCTATTTGCTTCTTTGCGTTTTCATATATCTAAGCCAGGAATCCTTCCACTTGAGATTAGCAAGAATAAAACACTGAATAATAACCACATACAGTTTACAACTTGTAGATTCAAATTTGTTTACATAAATTTGCAAATATGAAGGGATATGTGAGAAGACTTTGCAGGCAGAGAATGCTCCAGAATTGTCAGGTAATTCATATGCTGTAACTAGTTTGCTCAACTTTATGAAGAACTTCTTATAAGTGGTTCTTGCGCTATGACAATAGATTGTTTATAGATTCTTAAAATGTCCTGGCTTGATGGAAAAGAGGGGAAATTCTTCCTTCATAAATACCATTTGACATTGAAAGAAGCATCTGAAGCCACAAAACTGGAATATGAACATTCACACTGACTGTACAAATGGTTCAAAACTCCTGACTTCTCCCTCAGGCCCAGCTCCAGAAGCACTTACACACATGCTTAACTTTCTGCACACGAGTAATCCCATTGATTTAATGGGATTATTCCCATATGTGTAGTTACAAACACGTAAGTGTTTGCAGGATTGGGGTCTATTTCTCTCACAGTGATTTGAAACCTATGGAAGAAAATACTGTATGCAAGTTAGACATTATTTAATGGCTGCACATTAAGCCTGAATATGTCTGCTGAAATCAATGGGGCTGTGCCAGTTTGTACTGGCTGAGAAACTTCTGTCTTCTATGTAAGTGTACACTCTGTAGATGCAACACATTTGTGGCTATCACAGAATAGAAAGGGGAATGGAAAGATAATTGTAAAAATATCGAAAGAGAAAATTCTCCATGACTAGAGTATTACAAATCTTGATTTAGAACTTGAATTGCATTTAGAAAATGCTCAAGATATAATCCTTAATAATGCAATAATTTGTAGCTATTTCAGCTTTTTGAGCCTGAAATAGCTACAAATGGTTTTCTTTTAAAATGTGTAAATATAGAAATGTGTACACACATGTATATAGATGTATGTAGATGTAAGAAGAGTATTTCCAACCATCAAAAGCTATATATAAACATGTATGCTTGCATGCAATGCAAACTTGAACTGAGAGGATAAGCACTTAGAAAACCTGAATCAACTTTTGTAAAAGTAACTGAACTTGAAGTTGCCTCTAACTTGGATAGTGTACTTTTAATGTGGAATTCTGCAGCCAAAATATTTTCTAAAAATTTAAGGCAAGTAACCATCTGCCATAAATGATAGAAATGGAATATAAATAAAATAGTACTTGTAGTGTTTTGATGGAAATCATATGCCAAATATATCCACAGTCTAGGCAGCTGGAACACTTCCAGATGTCAGGAACAAAAGCAGAGAAAAGAGTTGGTTTGGCCAGGACATGAGTTGCTGTGTTTGGTGTATCTTGCTGGCTGTCCTGAATAACAACATTATTAAGCAATTTGAGCTGGAGCATCATTATGCCCCATGAAGAATTTAAGGAAGATCTTGACTTGAGCATGTTGCAAGAGGAGTCATGCTGTGCCACTTGGTACAAAACTATAATCAGTTTTATGCCACTGGCACGTTCAAACATGTAGTGGGATATGCTGGGCATCAATGCTCAAGGTTTTATATAAGGTAACAGCTGCTTTGGTCAGGCAGTTAATTAAATGTGTTAATTTTCCATACAACCAACACTAGTGACAACAGATCAGAGTGGGATTTTATGACATTTCAGGGTTCCCTTATGTGATCACAACGATGGATTGCACCCACATCATCCTTCACATGCCTTCACTGAATGATGCTGCCTTTCTCCTTTGGAAACAGCTTCGGTATTTCACTCTACAAACACTGCAGTGTTAATGCTATGGCACTACTGAATATTGCCAGTTGCCCCAACTGCAGTCTTGAAGAGCTGTTTGGGCTTATTCCCGCACTGATATTGGTTTAGTCAGAGATGCAGCAATTCATTTACAAGGCAAAGGTACTTTTTATTTTCTTTCTCCTATCTTAAATTACTTATTAGAAGTCTTTAATAAGCAAAGATGTAGAGTGGAAATAAAACGCTAGGATATTTTTGAATAGATAGTGTGTTCTTCAGATGTAGAATTATAGAAAATAATTTCCTTGTTCTCGATAGTTTGGCTTGTGGTACAACATTGCATGACAAATTCAACCTTTTCTGTATGTTGTTACTTGAATAATATGATACTAGCTCAAATGGATCCAGCAATAGAAGGTAAATGGAGACTATTCATGAAAGGGACTGGAAGAACATGCTTAGAAGTAATGGACTGACAAATGCGCAGAATGAATAATATAAAAGAATTGAACAAGTTTTCTTCCCACCAAATGGATAGTACAGTGTGAAGAAATGTGGAAGAAATGTAAAATGCCAAGTTAGGCATGTAAGGACTGACCAAAAATGAGTCACACTCCTACACATTTGGCTCACAATTTGAAATATTTGTTTTTAGTTGATTGGGTAGCCACTAAAAGTATGGTAAGCTTTGTTTGAATTTGATCTGTCACTTCTTTTAATGGATGACTGATTTTATGACATATGTCACATTGTGTCACATCATTCAAAACACATTAAATCATGCTCTAGCTCATCATTTCTGAAGGCAATAATGCTATTCAACATGACGTGACATGACGAGATATAACGCAACTCAACAGCTGAAAAAATAACGGAAAGTTTTGTAGGTGTGACATGGATTCCAGAAATTATATTTTAATGAATGTTATGAAGATCCCAGTAGCTAAGTTTTCAAAATGGGTCAGTTGAATGAGCTGTGTCTTCATGAAGATGGGATCTGAGCTACTTGGTGTAGAGAGGGAATGAGTCTGTCAATAGGCTTGGTGAAAAACATGATTTCTTAAAGAAAACCTTGCTGGAAAGCTGAGTCTTATGCCTGGAATACTGGAACTCTCTCTGGACTTAAAGCTTTTATGTATGTAAGTGTTTTATAGCATTTAAAATTTCTGAAACCTCAGGAGATGTCCTAAACATAAACATTAGTAGATGCCAGGATTTAGTTCGATGTGGTATTCTAACATATTTAAAATAAAGATGGCTGCAATCTTTGTGAGCTCTGCTCTTGTTTCCTAATGGTTATCTCTTTTTCTGCATTTTTACTATCAGGAGCAGAGTGTTTGTGTTGTATATAATGTGACAATGTTATTTATTCTTATTGACAGCAGTGATGATATGTCTATTTGCACACAAAAAGGACCTTCAGCTAAATCAGCAACAGGATATCTCCATTAAGAGGCAGTACCTAAGCACGAAAAATTAAGTCCTCTCATCATCTGAAGCTTTCACTGGAAGAACAAAATTCTTTAGCCACCAGGATTGTACCATAGATTTTTTTTTTTTCAGGTAAATGAAACATCTTTAGTCATATGCATAACCAAATATTGTATGCTTTCTAATGTTATGCACTTCCATAGCTACGCTTGGCTAATGATTAATCATTAGTTTCTTACACCATTTTACCATTTACGCCAGTTTATCAGAGAGCTCTGGATATTGCAGAACCAGAGATGGAAACTGCATACTAGCAATCCCGAAATCCTTCCTTACTTGTATGATTGATATTACTGATACCACTGACCTGAATTTAAGTCTATGTTATCCTAAGATAACTCCTGAAAGTGTACTCTATTGGTCATTTCTCCTTTCTTGACGTTGATTCTTTTTTAATCTTTTAAAATATTAGCTGGAAGTCATACCGCAGTCAATATGATACGGCTTCAGTAGGAGAAGATGTGTGAGGATACCCCCAAGAGCAGGTTGGGGGAATTAAGACTCTTCTGCATGTGAGAAAGAGGTAAGCAGGCTCATGGAATTCAGCCACCATCTTTTAGATGGCCTTCTAACCACTGGACATTGTAAATAAGTCCACCAGGTTGACACTCTTACACTAGGGAGTCCTGATACAATGTCCAAAAGACTGCTTGTGGCTCTGAAGCCAGACAGAAAGACGGACTTAGTTACACACCATTCTCTTTTTCCAAATTTCCTGTTTACAAGTTTCTTTTGAATCCTCTACTATTCTTTAGGCCTGACTTTTCCTGTTAATTGTCTTGGAAGACACCCTTGATGTCTGGAGTTTTCATTATGCTCTAGGGCAGGTGAGAACTGAGCTGAGTAATACCCATCTCCCTTTCTTTGGTGACACTTTCCTATCAGAAAATAAACCCTGCAGTTCTCTGCCTTTTATTTCAAAATGTTAATTTACAGACTGAATATCTTGAGATTCTTCCACCCTGCCAGCATATATGAAAGAGAAACTTGTGCAAACCCTCACTTTATTACCACACCTGTTAGAAATCACTGTTGCACCTTAGATGTGAAAAATGTGGCTGTACTATACCTAGTAAGAAATACATACACCCCAGCCTCAGTGTAAGTGCACCACCACTGCTATAAACCAGACACAACTACTTTGGTGACATTCACTGTAACTGTACGTTGACAAGTTCCCATTTAATTTACTACATATGGTTCCATGTCTCCATAGCTACTCTCGTGAATTCATTATTCATTAAATAAGTGATGAATTTACTTAAATATTGCAGCCACATGGCCGACACAAATGCATTCTAATATTATTAACACGTTGCCAACTTGCAACTCTTCGAAGTCTGAGTAAATGTTTTGACAAGAAGAGGCAGCAAGAACAAATAAGTAGTAGCAGCCTAGATGAAGTTCAGCCATAGTTCTAACAGCTTTAAAGTCTTAACAGTGTTTTCACTGGGGCAGTACCAGATAAATTGCTCTTATGTGTGCATACAAGAGACTAAAATTCCTTTGAAAGTTTATAATTTCTCATGGGAAAACACAACATAAAAGTTACTTTTACTCATAGAAAAACAACACCATATTTTCCTGTCAACCTTTGCTGTTGGGAATTTCAAACTTTTTGCATTTTTTCCCTGTGATTCTTTGTCGACCCAAGGGACCAGCATTTACAACATAATTTACTTTCAGCATGTCTCCGTAAATCATTGTAATACTTTCTATGGCTAGTGAAAAAAAAAGAAAAAGCAGCACTCTCAAAATGGACTGACAAACCACTTTTCCTAGACTTCAACAGTGAAGCAAACCCACCACCCTTAATCTCTACCCCCTCCTGTTTCAGGAGGGTGACACTGATGTGGAGAGATGCACAAAAGTAATGTATTTTGCAAGGGTTTGTGCGAATGTTTGTGTTTAGAAGTTGTAATTTTTATAGGGAAATATTTATTGAATAGTATTTACTTGCAGTAAAATATACAGAATGTGTGGAGCATAAAATGTGCTGTGGTGGCAGGCTTCTGGGCGCAAAGGGAAAACCACTGACGTTTAAGTTTTGGACACAGCAGTATTTTTTTTCTCACTCTTCTTAAGGCCTGTTGTTGTCACTGTTGTTGTAGAGACTTAACAGTGTAGTCTCCGATTAGATGCCTTACGCATAGCCAGCCATAAAAAAGCTGGAAACCTGTAGAGCCTTTCAGCCTCACTTTTTGAGACTGCTGCTAATATCAAGGCTCATTCAGTTTTACATTAGAACTTGATGACTTGCACATTGGTTGAACCTTCACCTTTTACAACCTTAATGGGGATTTATTAGCTATTTCACAGTGTGTAAATTTGAATCTAGGTCAGATGAAGAAGAAAAATAGGGCAAATCTGGGCCTTAAGTATAACCTGCATATAATACATCAGAATAAAAAAAAAGAGGTGCAAAATTAAACAGATGATTAAAAGTGTCTAGAGCAGTCAGAGTCTGAAAAAAAAGCTTGATAAATTAGGGGTGTATGTAGGATTTTTTTTTTTTTTTCTGAGTTCAAACTTAGGTGACTGGTGAAAGTCTGGTTTCCACACAAAATCAGCAGATTAAGGAGTTAAAATATCTTGTTAACTTGTTTCTGCTAAGTGCTCACAAGAGGAAATGTAACACAGGTGTGTTTGATATTCACAAGATTAAAGCTTTTGTCTACCATCAAATGTTCACCACATTAAAGCCGTTTTAATGAGGTACTGGAAGATAATGAATGTAAGCCTCTAATTCACTGCAGAAGAGACAGCCTGACCCTGCTTTGACCTCACTGCAGCCAGGTATCTAAACCAGCATATTAGTAACACTTAGACCAAAAGGTGTGTGTGTAATGAAATAGCCACTACTCGCTGCCGTTCTCATCTGCTAAAAATGTATCTGGTTCAGGTGCCTCAGCTTTTCTGCTTGGTACCCTGGAAGTCTCACGTCCGATTACTCCCAAGTGATGATACTAGCTCTTTAGGGAAGACCATCCAGAGGGTAAAAACAGAGGCTGCTGTGATAAGGCAGCCTGTGATCATGGGGAATGGGGAGGTGAAAAGTGGATACGAACGAATATTATTGCTTACTTATTACCCATCCTGATACTTAGCAATGTTCAGAAAGCCAATAGCTGGAGTGAATAAAGGCTGGAAAGGTCCTTCTGGTTCATCTAGTTTTGTACTACTGTTTGATGGATCCACCTTACTGTTAAACTAAGGTATGCTGCCTGTTTAGTTATTAGAATAAGCTCCAAATAAAAATAAAATAAAGATCCTGAAAGGTTCTCCAAACCAGATTTATTTTGGCATGCACATACAGGAAACTATGTACTGTAGCAAGTTTTAAATACTGTATTTGGACACTAATTCTCAACTGCCGTCATCAGTTTGCTGACAGCCATCTGCTTGGACCCTGCTCCTTCCTCCCATTCAGCACCGTTAAAGTAAAATATTGACAGAAACAACTTCTGCAGCAAAAGTGGAAAAGTTAATAACATAACTGAAGTCGCACAGGATTTTTCTCTAATGTTCTGGAGTTCTCTTACAATTTTGTTTTACTCATGCCTTAATTTAGAAGTGTCCCACCCAGCTTAAAAATAGGAGGTTGTGTAGCCAGCTATCTTTAGATGACACAAGTTACCGAGGAGAAATCTATAGCTGTAAGTGCCTATCAGATAGTTCATACTACTTAATATGAATGAACAATATACATATTCCTGGAGAAGCTGACACACCGGCAGATATGTTGTCAGTTAGAGCCAGAAAAAGAAGTCATCACAGTAAGGTTGCCACTGTGGCTGCTGAGCGCTGCATTGGCACATGCAGCAGATGATTGATATAATTCAAATTTACCTGCAGAAACATTTTGAACAGTAATATAGAGAGCCCATGCAATCCCTTATGTCACGCTCACTGGATACTGCTACCTCAGTGCACTCAGGGGTGCCTTGGCACTTCCAGAAAGACCCTGAGCCTCCTTGGACTGTGATTTTCTTTTCAGTACATAGATTGTGATGTTCCCCATCTTAATGAAGCTGAGCTACCCCAGTTCAGCACAGAGCAAGCTCGACCTTCGGCTCTCTGAATGAAACGTCATTAAAGCTCTTGCACAGGTCAGAGGGCAATGAACAGTAGAAGACTTTGCCACTAATTATTTCAAAAACAAAAGTGAGCTCATGTATATACACACATACATATCCAGATATACATTAGTATAAATAATTTATTTATCATACCTATTTATAATACATGAATCTTTTATATTTTACTGTGATACCATTGCTGTTTGCAGATTTACATCTCTTATTAAATTCCCCACAAAACAAAACACAATACTATGGAAATATATAGCCCTACAAACAGATTCAAGACTTCTAATCCAAGTGGCCTCACTGTCTGCAATATTCCTTTCTAAATAGTGCCATTACATCCCACAAATTGACTTGCAATGAAAGGTAATTTCTTTTTATTCCCTTAAAGCTTTGATGAAGAAAAGATGAAACAATCTATCCCATAAAGAACAACACGACAGTTTTCAAGATGAACTCTCTAACATATACAACTGTGTCTGCCATTCTACAGATCCATACACACCGAAACTTAAGTCAGCCCTGTGAAAAGATGGGCACATTTACTATGTTGCAGAGATCAGCAGTAGATTTAGTGGAGAAAGCAAAGCCTTTGGGCAGATGAAAAAAATTCTAGAAAGTCTAGATTCCAAGGAGAAAATTTGACTAGTGATGCAGAGAGTGTAGCAGAAGCTAAAACATGTTTGTGAGTGAAGACAACGCCTCATTGTCAAACCCAACACCTGAAAATATGAACATTTTTTTGAGAAATGTTTTCAATATTTGACTTTTTTATTCTTCCTGTAGAAAACAAAAAAAAACCACAAAGATAATCTGTGCCATCACCCTCAGAATGCATCGAATCCTGTTTCTTACCTGACTCATCCCTGCAGGTCAGTGTGCAGGTGAGGGAGGAGAGCACTGAGCACCCCCCATGTCTTCCCTTCATATAATAATTATAAAATCATATAAAAGATAATTCTTCCTCCTTCAT